AACGCAATACTTATTGCGTTTAATCGCAATACTTATTGCGTTTAATCGCAAAAGTATTGCGTTTAAACGCAAAAATTATTGCGTTTAATCGCAAAATTATTGCGTTTAAACGCAAAATTATTGCGTTTAATCGCAAAATCATTGCGTTTAAACGCAAAAATTATTGCGTTTAAACGCAAAAATTATTGCGTTTAAACGCAAAAATATTATTGCGATTAAACGCAAAAATTATTGCGTTTAATCGCAAAAGTATTGCGTTTAAACGCAAAAGATTGCGTTTAATCGCAATCTTTTGCGATTAAACGCAAAGTGTTTTGCGTTTAAACGCAATATACATTGCGATTAAACGCAATCTTTTGCGTTTAAACGCAATGATTATTGCGATTAAACGCAATGTTTTGCGATTAAACGCAATAATTATTGCGTTTAAACGCAATAAAAAATATTTCTTTCTCTGAATTGGCCTCAACGGGCTTCCGTACATGGGCATTGGCGTCCAATTTTTTTTTTTAAATAAGGCTAGGAGGAGGGATATTTTATTTAACTGATCTACGCTTATCATTTAGTAGAACAAGTGGAGAGTAGTTTATTTTAATTTGTTTTGCGAAAATAGCTCGGAGCTTATACTTGTATAATATTTTATACCACTATATATACCGTAAAAGTGAACACTTTGATGACGTGAAAATGTTGACGAATGAGTAAAAGTAGTTAACATTCCATTTTCAAATTTTCTTAAAACACAGTTAAATAGTATATAACTTCAATCACCAATCGTTATTTTTTGCAAAGAAAAAATAAAGCTGGCAGCACATCCAGTCGTTGACTGGGCAGTGTCTAAGGAATCTCCCTTAAGGACTTCTGTCGAACCCTTTTACACGAACTACAATGCTAGTAGAACTTGTAGTAATGGAGATTTTATAACATCCCTTCAAAGAATAGAATGGTGTCTGGTCGAAAACGGGAGAAAACTTTCTCTTCCTTCATATCTTCCAAAGGGTTCGACCAATCAGGGGGAAAAAAACCTCTCAGCTAAGGTGCCTTCAAAAGTAATCAAAACGTTCTACCTTACTCCAAAAGATGCCTATCGCCGAAATACAGACACCTTATACTTGTCAAAAATGTATGTATTGATTGACTGATGTTTTATTTCCCATCCAAAACTTTTTCACTCATATGAGACGTTCCAAGTGTTAAGGCCCCTTGACCACGCTTTTTTTTAAATTCATCAATCTGTGTATTTGTATTACACTGTATTTCAATGGACTTTTGAGCTTGAATACTGTTCGTTATCTCCATAAAAAACATAACTGTACAGAGTCCTGAATTCTTTATCACCTTTATTGTCGGCTAAAAAGATAACAACTGATCTGGTTTGTAAAGTATAGGCAATTTACTACAAGTACATATGTTAAACATTTTATTGTACGTCAAGTTAATCACTATATATAAACTTTTATTGAATGTTTTCCATTTCATTTCGTTATGAAAACAATTTTACAACTTTTTAAGGACTCAATTTATGCCATAAGTTTGCGTACCAGAATCAAAGCGAAAATAATTTAGAGATATATGTAGAATTATGGGACTCCTTTCTCGCCCTAAAAGATGTTTTTTAACTGACACTTATGTTATGAGTTATTGTTCATATTAACAATAGAGAGAGTTTTACTTCTTATTTGTTGTGGATGAGCAACACGAATATAATTTCTTCCGCTCTATTATGTAGGACTCTATATCAACTACATGTATATTTGTAAACAAGGGTTACACTTTCTCTTTTTAATTGCACTTTGCTTTCGCGAACGAGTTGAAGAGTATGAAGTTAGACATAATCATTCTTTACATTAATATGCAAATGCTATGCGCGATGTGGGATGTTTAAATCCTCTTCAGAACAGAATATCAAATATGGACACACTTTACTGCTTTTATGACCCCGCTGTAGCCCCGATTTGAAACTTTCAGAGCCAGAGTATTTTCCTTAAGGAGTTGTACCAAAGTGAAGTTGGAGGAAAATTCTGAATGTTAATAGTTTAATTCTGTTGACAACATTTTAAATTCAAATTCATGCAGTTCTTCAGCAAAGGTTATCCTGATTCGATAGGTTATAATATCTTATTATACCCCCCGCAAACGAAGTTTCGGGGGGTATGTAAGAATCACCTTGTCCGTCTGTCTGTGTAAACGTGTCCGGTCAATATCTTTCTTACAGAGGAACATTAGAATCTACTACTTCACACAAAGATTGTTCATAACCTAAGGGTGTGCAATGACCTTGACCCAAAGTCATTTGGGCAAGTTCAAGTTCACTGAAAGAAAAAGTTCATAATTCGTGTCCGGTCCATATCTTTCTTAAGGTCAGACGACACGTTCCTCAATTATATATAACTTTTTCCAGGAATTTGATATTGATTTACTGCTACTATGACAAGCTTGCTTGCAAAAATTTAGGGTACATTACCAGGCATTTGTGCAAGATACTAGAGGATGGAATTTCCTATATAACCCTATTGAAAATCACTTGAATTGTAGATATAACAAATTTTGGTATAAATATATATATATATATTAAACATTGTAACCATTTTAAAAATGAAAATAAATAATATTAATTTTAATTGGGATATTATCAAGCTGTTGAAAATTTGAAAAATAATTATCATTTTTCATCAGTGTAAACCTGTCCTTGAGTTACCTCTCTTTGTGAAAAAGACAAAATAGGTTTTTATCAAGAACAATTTTTATTCACATTCCTGTTCAATATAATCAAGGATTCAAATGTTATTGCATTCAAATAGAGATAAATGTACATACCACAAGAAAATATGACTGATTTACAATACAATATCACAATACACAATTGGATGTTTACAAATTTACTTCAGATTCATAAAATACTGTTGAAGAGAAGAAATAATTCTAGAATTTGTAGTAACTCGCACTTTACCTGTTGCATGTTTGTCAGACAATACATACTTTATTCCATTTACTGCATCTCTCTGATAGGCAAGATAAAGATGCTGGAAATGAAGGCCAGATGATGCAACTTTGTTTGCAGTAAATTTTGACAATACATTGCTGTCTACAAGATGTTGTAAAGAACATAAATTTCTGCTGGTCAAATCTGCAAAAGAGTTGTTTTCAAAAACAAACTGCGTTGTAAAACTATGTTTGGGCATCATATCATCAGGGGCTTTTACACATAACACCAGTTCTTGTAAGGTCTGAGCATCAGACAAAGCATCATGGGCATCATAATGCCTACTACATATGTCTTTAGCAAGATCTGTAAGCTTATATGATTTTCTATTTGGGATGAGTTCTCTACATAATGGCAGAGTGTCAGTAAATCCAATGAAGAAGTCACTGGCACACAGTCCCACTGAATCAAATAAACGCACAATAATTCGGGAATCAAATATGGCATTGTGAGCAACCAAAATTATGTTGGTAAATTGTTTCATCCAATCAATAAATGACTGAAAAGCTTCCTCATTTGTCTTACTGAGAACTTGGTGTCCATTCTTGTACATGATATTGTCTCTGATTGCTAGTCCAGTCACAGCTGTAGCAGAAGCAGAGATGGGTTTTGTTGGAGGAGTGACATACTGGGAAAATATTTTATCATCAGTACAAGCTCCAATCTGTGTTACTTCACAATCTTTTTCTGAAAAGAGAAAACATGAAATAATTTATAGAAGAAGTCAAAAGCATTTTTCAGCAATTCACCACATCATGTTTTAGGCACAATTTTTACATGGAAATACATGTATGATGATATTTACCAAGACCTATTGTTTCCAAGTCAAAGTATACAAATGTATACTGTCCAGCTGCAATGGGTGTTGAAATGGGTTTGATGAGAGGAGGGGGTATTTCTGTAATGCTGTTGTCTATATTATTGTTGATGTCAACATCAGTTTCGTATGTGATCCCCTCTTTTACTGCTGATGATTCTTGATTTTTCTTGCTCTCAGCTTTTTTCAATGCTCTTCTTTTCTTGTACTCTGCTGTATCTTCTTTGTCTTTGTCTTTCTTTCTTTTCAAGTCTGTTTTCATGGCAATTTTGCTTGTCACTTTCCCAGGTGACAGAAACAATTTTTCATTTACCTGAAATGAAAACACTTTACAATTTTATTTCTAATAATCTTATTTACCTAAAGTTCAAGCTAAAATTTCAAGTAACATTGCTAAATTTAGTATTTCACAAAACAATCACAACTGCATGTAGAACATGTATTTGAAAGGAAAAAAAATATCATAATTTTAGTGAATTTCTATGGAAGGGTAATAATACTTCAAGAATAAACCTTATTTTTCCAATTTACCTGTAATATATTCTGATGACCCAAATTTTTTTGTGCAACTGCTGCAGCTACTCTAAAGTCGTTGCTCTCTGAGCCAGAGTAGAATGTTGATTTTGGAGTCTTGCTTTCCACAGTATTATTAAAACTTTCATTGGGCTGGGTACTTCCTAAATCCACCAATCTATCAGCCTGTGAAATGTAAAAGTCAACTATGGATGTCAAATCAACTTTCAGTCCTTCATCGGAAAGATAGCGGTGGTATGGCAACTGAACAGGTTTGTAAGTCGTTGGTGATGATAAATACCCACACCAAGATCCACACAAGCTGTGATCACCAAATACATGTCTGGATATAGCCTCCAAGTTTTTCCTCATACCATCCAAGTCATGTTGATTTTGACTGACACAATATCTGAAGCACTTTGACAGGTGACTTATTGTCTTAGGATTTAGTTCTTTATAGTTTTTACACTTTTTCAGATCATATAACTTGTTTGTGAACTGTTTCAGTGTGTGATTTTTATCACTTTGTTTCTTCAAAGCTGGGTTTACCTCAGTACGAGCCCTTGCTATTGTTGTAGTATCATTGTCCATGATGATAGTCCCTACTTGCACATCCTTTCCTCATAGATCTTTGAGCATTTCTATGCACATGTCTGGCTCCATAGCTTTGGAACTCCCCGTCCAGTTTTTACGGCATTCATGAGTTGATGGAGTCTTCCCCGTTTTCTCTGCACTATGACATATTCTGCAGTATCCGTTGCGTGTTGCAAAATGTACAATTCTGTCAGTTTCTCTGCCTATCATTGCTGCATGTCCTAGAAATATGAATTTCACAGTTATATTTTTCCTTCGTCAAACATGTGAAATAATGTATAAAGTCTTTGACTTCGTATTACCTGAATGTATTATCTCATATCTTTCAATAGGACCCTACCAGATAAACTTGAAAAAGAACGCCCTGATCCCCTCTTCTGCGAGCCGCCATCAAATGACACCATCAACTCTTCATTATTACTACAATACAATTCACATATCATCAGGATAAATTTTATTATCAGATTGAGTTCGGCTGGAGTCGCCAGCCTAAAATTACATGTAATGCGAATAAACAATGCATTTTCAATGATAACTGAGCTTATCTTTGTGTGTAATACTATTGAATGTGGCAATCTATGTATACACACAGTATTCAGTATATACAACTGTTGAAGTATTATCTGCAAGTTTATTTTATGTATACATGCCTTGGATTAGACATATTATAAAAATATTGCATGTAGTTGAGTGTAACATTGAAAATTTTCACCCCAAGAAAACCATTGTCAACTGACGTGCAGCAAATTGCAAGGTTGACAATGGTTTTCGAGGGGTGAAAATTTTCAATGTTACACTCAACTACATGCAATATTTATTAAATTATACTGAATGCTTTATACAAATACATGATAATAACAGTGAACTTTGCGCGCATAAATTTTGCGCAATCACTATTTCTTGGAATTTCACCCGTCGTCAAGCAATGTTGACTGTTGCTATGCTGGAGGGCCTGTCTTCATCATTCAGCAGGTAATAGTGTTTTTTAATAAATGTTTCTCGACAAATCAGATTCAACTAATTTATATGAAAGTATAATACATGTATTATAAATTATGCAATAATCCTACAATATAGGCATCACTTTTATAATAATTTTGAAATACATTGCTTTTCTAAAATTTTAATTATGCAAGCATGGTATAATTTATGGTGTGTACCTAGAAGATTCTCTCTCTGCAGTAACCACAGAATCACAACTTTGCCTTGCAACATCTTCTACTGCTTTACCAGCTTCTCTCCCTGTAGATTTTAAAGTTGTGTGAGAAAGAGGTGGAATATTCAGTACGCTCAAGAGCATGGACACCTTTTTCTCCCTTATGCCTGCATGTAGCATTCCTACAAAAACAAATAGTTATAAAAGTAATATGACATTATATTATATATCTTATGTTATCCTTTTATCAGATTATATGAAGAAATTATAGAGTTCTCATACACACCTAAAGCAAGCTTTGTGTTTACATCAAATGCTCTGCTGGCATGGTCATCCACACGTGAGTGTCTCTTTCCACTTGGGACAGAAGTCACTTTGTTGCACTTTTTGCAATTTATTCGTAGTAATGAACCAAGTCCATATCTTACTTCATCAGTTAACTTCAATGGATGTCCACAACAGTTACAGCCCTAAATTAGTTTGTTCACAACATATCCTAGTTCTATTACACGTCTTCCTGTGAACCATTTTATCTGTTTATCACTTTTAGTACTGTCATCATCCTTTAGGAGAATTTCAGTGTCTACTTCATCTTCTTTCTGTGCATAATCATGCTCATCTAGATAGTATGGTACATGTAATCCTAAAACTCCGTCCACGTCATTTTCTTCAGAGAACTCTTGTTGTGAGAGAGACACACTGGCATCGTCTGTTCAATATATATATATATATATATATATATATATATATATATATATATATATATATATATATATATATATAAAATATAGTAAGAAAATATATCCGAAATGTGTAGAACACATGTATTTCTCCAAATAAATACGTGTGTGAGGAGTGAACTACCTGGTGTCTTTGTGACACTGTCTTGTTCTGAAAAGAATCACCAGTCTACGATTCCTATATACATATAATAAAGATTTATTTACCTTTGTCCACTTCTTTATTTCTCTGTCTGTTTTCTTCTAAAACATTGGCTTACCTGAACATTTGATTTGAAATGAATTTTCCATTCTTACCGCGATTTTTTCCCGGTGTCTCCATTGTAAACAAATTACAAATTTATCTCCAATCGCTAAAGAGCGCAGAAAGGGACATAATCAAATATAATTTTTTAAACCAACTTCGGTGAAAATCCGGATTGTTTTATTGGAACTCTTTATTACGAGGAGATACAAAAAAAGATACTCGAGGAACGTGTCGTCAGACCTTAAGGATAAACTTGATGAGTTCCCATTTAATACAAAGATTGCTAATGACCTGAGGGTGTGTCATGATCTTGACCCAAGATCATATGGGCAGTTTAAGGTCACTGAAAGAAAAAGTTGATAATTTGTGTCCGTTCCATATCTTCTTATGGATAAACTCTGAGTTCCAATTTTACACAAAGGTTGTTCCTGACCTGAGGATGTGTCATGACTTTGAGGTCATTTGAGTAAGTTCAAGGTCACTGAAAAGGTTCATAACTCGTGTCTTGTCCATATCTTTCTTACGGATAAACTTGGCGAGTTCCCATTTAATACAAAGATTGCTAATGACCTGAGGGTGTGTCATAACCTTAAACCAAGTTCATTTGGGGAAGTTAAAGGTCAAGTTAAAGGTTATGATAAAATCATAATTTGTGTCCGGTCCATATCTTTCTTATGGATAAACTTGGTGAGTTTCCATTTTACACAAAGATTGCTTATGACCCCACAGTGTGTCATAACCTTGACCCAAGGTCAAATGGGCAAGTTCAAGGTCACTGACAGAAAAAAGTTCATAATTCATGTCGTTTGTATCTTTCTTATGGATAATAATGTTGGGATGTTGAGAGTTTCCACTTCACACAAAGATTTCCTATGACCTTAGGGTGTGTCATAATCTTGAACTATAGTCACTGTAGAAAAAATGGATAAATAATGCATCCATACTTTCCAATAGATAAATACTTGAAAAAATTGTTATTTATTTTTTCATTGTAAAAAAAAAAGTTATTATAAGTATTGATGTTTTATTACGCTGCGCCTTAGTTTCATTCATTAAAAAAATAAAATGAGCAATTACCGGTAAATTTTCAATCGTATGTTAAACAAATTGTGAACACCTCTTAGATCCATCAAATACTAGTATTAGTGACTTGACACCTTCTCCGAAAAACCCTGCGGGGGGTATTTGTCCATTTTAGACAGTTCTAGTTATATTTACCAAACATATGATTATTAAGAAGCAGAGCATGCTTTAATGCTGGTCATAGAAAGGTACACTTAAAACAAAGGCATCTTTCTCCTCATTATCTCATTTTTTCCGGCATCTTGTGAAACATTGATGCCCCCGTATGGCAACTTTTAGCGAAGGTAAAACGTTCTCAAATGCAAATCAAATCTGTTGGTACCCAAAGTAAGGTCTTGTCCCGATAAGTATACCTGTGAAATATGAAAGCCCTAGCAGCAACCATTAAAAAGATATGGAAATGGTTAAAGTTTTTCAAAAGTAAATAAAACATCAAAATCAAGTCAAAATTAATGGTGCCCAAGGAAAATCCTTCTCACAAGAAATACAAATGTGAAATATGAAAACCCTAGCACCAACCGTCAAAAGATATGGCCAGGGTTAAATTTTATTAAAAGTAAGTCAAACTCCAAGGTCAAAATTAAAGGTCAAAGTTGTTGGTATCCAAAGTAAGGTCTTGTCACAATGATTACATTTGTGAAGTATGAAAGCTAAAGCACCAACTGTTCAAAAGTAATGAACAAGGTTAAAGTTTTGTAACGTGTAACCTAAGGGTTCGTTTTCAAAGGGAAGAGGGTCTTAATTTAGACAAGTATGAATAAATTTTCCTCTGGCTCTACTTGAGTCTATGATTAACACTGGGAATTAATATTATTTACAATGAATATTGTTGATTTACTGGGTTACTTGTCCCGTGTTCTATTTTCTTACAGTGGTGACACAAACTGAGGTCCTTTCTTACTGGGTTAAATGTAGAAGTGGCTGGGCACCTTGCACTGTGTTCCACAACCAAGTTCTAAGAGTACTCGGTGTCTCACCCTTATCCAGGATTACTGCACCTCGTATTTCCCAATCCCCTGGTTTACTTTTCACTTGTGCTACTACTTCCAACCTAGCCTTTCAAACATCTCTCACTATGGCTACTTCAATAATTACCTTCTTTTCTTGTTCACACATTCACCATCCCTCTGATATTTTCTCACAACTCTGACTGTCTTCTGGTGGCGACTTGTGTCCGTCTGAATGCTAACATCCAACTAGTGACATGTTCTCTATAGCAGGGGCAGTGATGCAAAACCATGGGCGCCTCATCATCTACCAGACTCGAACCTTTGTCCTCAGGTTGGCTAGGCACTTTGTTGTCACACTCGTCTGCTTCGCGCTTGACTCCAGGGAGACTTGGCGAAGTTTCCTTCCTAATTGTTCTACCAACTTCAAGCTCTGTCTCATAAATAAGGTAACCTGGATCCTCTTGCCACTCGGAATCACAATCGTTGTCATCTTCAGCTACGGGTTATGAATCATGTGGAACGTTTCTTTCATCATCTGGGAAACTAGTATTAGCTGAGTGTAGTCTTTTCTGGTGTCTCATTAGAAGGGAATGCTTAGCAAATGCCTTGTCGCACTGGTTACACTCGAACCTTCGTTTATTCATGTCATCAGTTGCACACGCTAGGAGATGCTCCTTCCATTCCTCTTGTGAAGGGAGGCGACAAAGGCAAATGGAACATAGAAGGCCGGGCTTCCTAGGGGTAACTTTAGTCAAAGGCATGATCTGTAATAAATACAAAGAATATTGCTTACTTAGCAAAGTACATTTACTATACAGTATAATCAAACTGATAATCGGAGTGCCATTTAGGCCTCCTGCATTGCCTCCTACTCGTGTATTCAAGTTCCATCTCATTAAGATTTGTGTTGGTTGATATACCCAACCCATCGCCCGATTCAATATCTAATTCTTTTGTACTTAAACCATTTTCATTTGCATCATGGTTTACAATGTCCAAATCTTCTCTTACTGTTTCTTCTGCTGTTTGACCAGATTCATCATCACCTGGTACATCTGTTTCAAAACTAAGTCTCTGACATCCATAGTGTCTTAACCTGTCAATGTGGATGACCATGGTTTTCTTTTCACCCACTTTCTGCACCTTGTAGGTTAAAGGATGAATCGTTTAAACGTCCAAATCTGGCCCCCTGATAATTTACAAAAAATTAAATTAAAGATTTTCTACATATTTTTGCCTTAATCTTTCCATCAAACATTGTAGTTTATTAATTTCAATTTCAATTTTTACTTCCGTGCGCTGTAATTAGGTATTTATCTGATTAATATAGCAGGGGTATGTTGTTTACATCGATTTCTCATAGACTTTAGGCCACACCCCCATTTTGCAAGCCCATTTTATATATGAGCGCAAGGATGTTTCAAGTTGTCGTAAATATGGTCAATGTAAAGAGTTATACTATTCATTTACATTCATGAAAGAAATTGAAACAGTCTTGCGCTCATTTGCTATTTTCCAAAAAGGTGCAAAATCACGGGTGTTTCTCTCCATAGTAAAGGCACCTTGCTTACAAATTTCAACCCGTCTTTGACCTCATTAATAACAAAGCACTGAACACGTGACTCAAATCTATTCGCTTTGAGCACACCTATGCGACATTGTGTCTGCGAGCTATCGGTGGTCAAATCATTTTTCAAATGGATAATTAAAATTCTGGGAGAAAACATTTTATGATTAAGATGTGTTAAGATTTTCAGTCGATTTTGTTTGATTTTTTTCGGTATCTATCAATTTATTTTGAAGGCCTGTAACATATAGCTCGCACTTACTGCTTGTGGCTCATTAATACAGAATTTTAAAATTTTTATTACTGTGGGTACATATTATACATTTCCCCTTGTCCCTAAATATATAGCAGTGCTCCGTTCATTGATTTGGAAGATATGAAAGATTTTTTTCAGTTAAAACTGTCATTAATTTATAGTCTGTTATTTGAAAAACACCAATTCATTATATCGTTAGAAAAATAAATTGCTTGTTACAAGTGCACAAATGCATACTTCCAATAGAAAAAAAACCTTCAGGGAAAGAAATTGAAGTACGGAGCGCTCAAAAAAACCTGTATATCGGATGAAAAGTCACTGGATGAATACATTTGCACAAAAAGCACCCCTAATTTGAATAGAAGGAAATAGGGGTTTCTTCTGAAGCAAATGCTATAATTTTTTACATCGGCACAAAATTTCACAATTTTTTTTTTTTTTTTTTTTTTTTTTTTTTTTGCAGATCATGTAAAAAAAAGTCCATGTTCGCAGGTATTTTTAAATCATAATGTTTAAAAGCAAGAACATGCATTTCTATGACCCTTTCACATGTCCGATCAACGTAGATATTAGTAAAAAAAAAATCAGTCGAATGAAAAAGGGCGTTGAAAATACCTGGAGTGATTTATTATTTATCTTACTATCAAAAAGTACAGGAGTGGATTTAATTCCTAAATGAGGAAGATCATATTAATTTGTCTGGCATGAATAAACAGGATTTTTGAAACAATGCAATTTGGACTGTGCAAAGTAGATGTTTCTTTATCCACCAGCAATGATACTGACGTTAAGCTGACGTTTAATTAACGTTTAAATTTTCACTTTCTTAACTATCTATTTTTTATACACCGAGTGTAGTTTTATATCATAATTCAACCGCCTACGTGTATTTGTTATAGCACTCGGATTTTGCAAAATTATATATATATGTATGAAAAATTTCTAATTTTGAAATAAGCTTGAATGGATTAATTATCACTTTTTCAAAAAAAAAAGTTTCTTTAAAGTATGAAAAATGGTGTATCCTTCGTTGTACGTTGTTTCCAAATTCCACTGTGTATTTAATGTATAAAGAATTTAACGAATTTCTAGTAAATCATTTCAAATACGACTCGTAAGTTAAGCAGAAGAAAAAAAATCAAAATTAAGCTAGCCAAATTAAAAATGTATGCTTATATTTTGTCAGTCTCTAGCATGAAAAAAGGCTTTTTAGGTGTCAGTTAATCATAAAACTTAGTACACCTCGAACACACGCTAATGTATTCATACTAATCGCACGCTTGATAGACGCTCCGCCTTCTCATTCAAATGATACAATGACCTACAAAGTTGTAATGGCGAAATCGGGATTTTACAATGAAGTATACGATTTTATTTAATCGATATAATATATATATTGAAAGTCTCTTTCCCAAAAAAAATCTTTTCTGAGTATCTATACAGACTATTCTTGAAGACTTTAGCTATAATATAACAATGTTCTGATTTGAAAAGGTAAAATTCTGCATTTAAAAAATTTAGTAAAGTAGTCTGAAACTACAAGTATATACTTATGGCCATCATTGGTTTCTGGTAATGGTCCCATTAAGTCCGTAGCCACGCGTTCCATTGGACACCCCCATTTGATCAAGTTGCATAAATGATTTTCCTGCAGAACGGTTTTTCCTATTTCTACACTGTTGGCAACCTAATACATAGCTTCTTACATCATGCTGCAACCCAGTCCAATAGAAGCGTTCTCCGACTCGTTCCAGAGTCTTGTTTACTCCAAGATGTCCAGAGGTTCTGGCATCATGACACTGCTGGTAAAAAATGTTTCCTTCCAGACAATGGGACAATAACCTGGTGATATGTCTTTTTATCACCTATCCATTTTCTGCACAAAAGACCATCCTTAATTTCTAAATGATTCCACTGGGAACATACTGATTTGACTACTTTGCTTTCATGCTTGATTTCGGAAGACTCTGGACGCTTTTTATTCTTTACCCAGCTTTTTATCTTTGATAGATCCCCATCCTCATCTTGAAGACTTTGCAGAAGAACTGGCACTGTTGATATAACATCTACTTTGTAGTCTGTTTTCAAAATTTGAGGTTCAACAGTGGCAGTTGACGGGTTTTCCTCCGTGACTTCAGCATACCCACATTGGTGACACGGATATACCGTGACTGTCAGCATTACCATGCTTCGCACCAGGTCTGTGCCTTATATCTAGGTCATAGGTACCAAGAAACTCTATCCATTTCGCTACCTGGCCCTGTGGATCTTTAATATTAAACAGCCACTTTAGAGCACTGTGGTCTGCTCTGATAATAACTTTGTGCCCATAGAGGTAATGCCGGTAATGTTTGCAAGCAAACACCACTGCCAAGAGTTCCTTTCGAGTAACGCAGTAACGTCTTTCTGACTTGGACAATGTTTTACTACCGTATGCTATTACTTTTATTTGTCCTTCTATTTCTTGTGGCAAGACTGCACCAAGCCCAGTCTGACTGGCGTCTGTATCCAAGATGAATGGCAAAGCGAAGTCCGGGTGAGCGAGTATTGGTGCATTGACCAAATGAAATTTAAGTTTCTCGAATGCCGTTTGGCATTCAGCAGTCCATATAAATTCTTTCCCCTTTTCCGTACGTTTGAACTAGGGCTTGGCTATAGAAGAAAAACCAATCTACGATAATAGCCACATATCCCTACAGATGACCTTACCTCGGTGACATTCAAGGGTACAGGCCATTTGTCAATGACTGAGATCTTCTGAGGATCTGTCTGAATACCTTCTCCAGATACCTTATACCCCAGAAACAACACCTCTTTCTTAAATAAAGAACATTTCTTCGCTTTTAATTTAAGACCTGACTCTTCAAGTTTCTGAAACACTTGTTCTAAATTCCATAAAGTCTCTTCAAAAGTGCAACCAAAAACAATAATGTCATCAAAATACACTAAGCAAATCTTGTAGTTTAAGCCAGCTAACACCGTCTCCATAAGCCTTTCAAATGTCGCTGGACTTTTACAGAGTCCAAAAGGCATTGCTGTGAACTGGCACAGGCCGTTTCTTGTTACAAAGGCAGTCTTTGGCTTGTCACTTTCCTCCATCTCGACTTGCCAGTAGCCGGAATGCAGATCCAAGGTACAAAACAACGTTGCCCCCTGCAAACGGTCTAATGAATCATCGATTCTGGGTAAAGGGTATGCATCCTTTACGGTTTTACTGTTCAAGGACCTGTAGTCCACACAAAACCTTTTTGTCCCGTCCTTTTTCTCTACTAGTACCACGCCTGCAGCCCAAGGGCTAGAAGAGGGTTCTACAATTCATTTCTCAATCATTTTCTCTACCTCTTGGTCAACAAAATCAGCTGCATGATGCGGTAGCCTACGTGGAGGTTGTTTAGTAGTCTTTGCATTTTCCGTGTATATTCTATGTTTGATTACAGACGTTCTCCCAAAGTCATCTTTTGATTTAGAAAATAAATGCTGAAAACGAAGAAGTATTTTCTTTGTTTTCTCCGCTTCATCAGAATTCAAATCTTTGATGGTCTCGGAGTACAGCTCTTTAAGGTGATCTGGAATACAGCTGTCTTCGCAGTCTGTAACGCCTAGTTTATCTTGACTTTCCACAACACGTGTAACAGCCGACGTGGTACCCACTACCGTGATTTTGTAAACAATCTGAGGATTGCTAGATAAGTTCATTAACCTTACCATGACATCGTCACCAGGGTCAATCAAAGATCTCGCAAGCAGAGCTTTACCGCTTTTCTGAAATTTTTCGTACGCCTCCATTTCTAATGGTCCCTGGCAATTCATATCGCTAGGGGCAAGTAACTGTCCAGGACGTATCTTTTCACTCCTTGGTGGAATTGAAATTGTCTCTTTCAGACTGACTCTGAAACATCCTAAGTGACACTCAAGTTGGAGCTCATGCTCAGTTCCTCCCACATACATTTTCCCTGAAGAAACACCAAACATTTATTTTGCTGTGGCGTTCAACTCGACATTTAGATATATCGACGACGTACTGTCAATTAACAATGGCTATTTTCATTCTTATGTCGATATATCCTGGTGAACTTGAGATAAAAGATACCACAGAGTCTGACACATCTGTTTCATATTTGGATATTTTACTTGAAAAAGACGTTAATGGTAATCTAATAACCAAGCTTTATGATAAACGTGATGACTTTAACTTTTCAATCGTCAACTACCCTTACTTATGCAGCAATATACCTTCATCACCTGCATACGGGGTATATATCTCTCAGTTGATTCGATACGCAAGAGCATGCTCTACGTATGTAAAATTTCTAAAACGAGGTAAATTATTGACAAATAAGTTGATGAAACAAGAATATCAGCTGTCTCGTTTAAAGTCATCATTTCGTAAGTTCTATGGTCGATACAATGACCTTGTCAGCAAATACAATTTATCATTGAGTCGAATGCTGACTGACGTTTTTCATACTAATTGTTAGACCATTATTTACACACTGAATTGTCGACGGATTTTTCCGTTATCTCCCGATCATGACAAGGAGCACACGGCGGGTGTGACCGGTCGGCAGGGGATGCTCACTCCTCCATGGCACCTGATCCCACCTCTGATGTTTGGAGGCCCGTGTTTGCTCTGCTCCTATTTTGTATTGTATAATGGACTTTTGAGCTTGAATACTGTTCGTTATCTCCATATATTTCATTTCAGGAAATCTAAACCTAAGATGCCATCGGTGCTGATGTCGGCGACAACTGCCTCAAAAGTGAATTCATGATTTCCCAACATAAAGTGGAATGTGCACTTACCCTGCACTTGCAATGGCGTTCCATCGGTCAGTATTATTCTCTGGGTTAGCTCAACAGTTTTAGTGCTAAGCATGTTCTCAAATGCTTTACTTCACAAAATTGTCAGTGTAGCACCCGTATCCACTAACAACGTACACGGCACTTTATTTACACTGGCCTTTATAAATAACCCAGACTGAATATCAACTCGTGTTTGAGTGATTGAACACGTATTCGACTTCATATTCTTTGGCTTAGCCTCGGTTATCTCTTTTTGTTCTACTGCCTCCCTTGGGGATGGTGTGCATACATTGCCCCTTTTTATAACTGATCTCTGTTCTCCTTTTGACATAACAGTCTTGAGCTCTGTGGCTTCGCTTACCACAGTTATGGCACTTAAAAGGGAACTTTGTTTTGTCAGATCTTTGTATTGAACTCGATTCATCTGCTCTTGGTTGTCTACTGATATCTCTGCGTTCTGACAAAGTGGCTAGTTTGTTCTCAAGGTCTCGTAGTGACGACCGAAGTTCATCTCGTAATTGTTTTAAATCTTCCCGTACCTTGGTATCAGCTTCTGATGGTCTATCTAATTCACTATGTGCTGTTCTGGCTAAACTTACATGTCTTCTTTGGCGTTCAGCTCTACAGAAGGCTTCAATCTCCACAGCAAGCCGAACTGCGTCATTTAAGGATTTGGGCCGCGACTGTTGGATTCTCAGACGCATATCAAAGTCAGTTAAGGCGTCAACGAACTGGTCTTTTGCAATCATCTCTGTGACTTCACGTGGTGCCGTCGGGTACGCTAAATGTGCTAGTCGTCGTATACTTTCCACTAATTCTGGCAATGTTTCCTTTGGCCTCTGGTGCTTTTCCTTTAACATGGCTCGGTAAAGTTCCGTCTGATTTGTTGGTGCAAATCTTGCCTCTAACGCTTCACACAAGTCTCTATACGCACAAACATTATCTGTTTTCATGTTCCCCAATACCGTCTGTGCTTGGCCTCTTAATGATGCTGCCAGGTACAAGCCCTTTTGTCTGTCATTCCACATATTGATGCTACTGCATGCCTCAAAATGTGCTTTGTAATCAATCCAGGACCCAGTACCATCAAATGTCGCAGGCTTCATCACAGTTTTTCCAAAAGTGTTACTAGTAGGACAATTTGCACTGCTTACATTTACTGGTAACGATGCACCTAATGGCGTACTTGGTACAGCAGGCATAGGGTCTCTGTCCTTCGCAAGACTCCATGTAACACTTGTCGGTGTTGACATAGAGCTAACACCTAACGTACTCCAGTGTACACGCGGAGTTGACATTCGAGGTGTATAGGTATATTCAGATTCAGCCAGTGACACCACTGAGTACATCGACTTTTGTGTGTTATAAACATCGCTTCATCCCCAAATACCTTTGTTTCCAAGAACATGGAAATCATAACCTTGGGTTTTATGTTCCTCATATCCACCCATAGCTCCTTTCACATTACTCGCTCTTGAGGTAGGGTTTATGTCAACTTTACCCATCAACTCATCTATGCTGTTGTCACTAGTCTTTTGCCTTAAATCTACACCTGAATCAGTTACAACAGAGGGCTTACTAACATTAAATGTGCTCGGCGTAGACTTTAACTTTTCTAAAGTATCTCTTAATTGTCGTCGTCTAACGTCAATTTCTTCAAGATCCGCCCAGAGTTCTGATTCATGATCACTCATCTTCATTTATTTTATACCTAGTAACCAAACAAAGATACCAAGTACTCTACTATGGTAAATCTTGCTATGGTTCACGTATCTACTCAGTGCACACAGAACTCGGTACCTTGTATTTAAACCAGATCTGCGTTCACCAGAACCCGGTGACAGAACAGTTCAAACTGTTAAATAAACTTAATTTAAAAGATTCTAGCAATTAAATATGCCCTATCCCTTGACCAGCTGCCACCAAAATGTAACGTGTAACCTGAGGGTTCGTTTTCAAAGGGAAAAGAGTCTTAATTTAGACAAGTATGAATAAAATTTTCCTCTGGCTCTACTTGAGTCTTTGATTAACACTGGGAATTAATATTATTTACAATGAATATTGTTGATTTACTGGATTACTTGTCCCGTGTTCTATTTTCTTACAGTGGTGACACAAACTGAGGTTCTTTCTTACTGGGTTAAATGTAGAAGTAGCTGGGCACCTTTCACTGTGTTTCACAACCAAGTTCTAAGAGTACTCGGTGTCTCACCCTTATCCAGGATTACTGCACCTCGTATCTCCCAATCCCCTGTTTAATTTTCACCAGTGCTACTACTCCCACCCTAGCCTTTCAATCATCTCTCACTATGGCTACTTCAATAATTACCTTCTTTTCTTCTTCAGAAGCTTCCTATCAATACAGACTTCTGAATTCAGAATGACAAATACAGTACCGACCAGACACAACCTAACAGAAAGCGAACCCAGAGCGCACCCCGGGTTCGCTTGGGGTCCGCTAGTGCTGACCCCGAGCGAACCCGGAGCGCACCCGTAGCGAACCCGCAGCGAACCCAGAGCGAACGCAGAAAGCGAACCCCAAATTCAGTAGCGGTCCCAGAAAGCGAACGCGCGTTCGGTATTGCGTAACAGAGCTGTCAATCAGGATTATCGATTAACTCATCAGCGCCTCGACCAATCAACATGCCGAACAGGTCTGTCAATGAGGATAAGTGATAAAATGCGTTGACCATCAGCGCATCGACCAGTCAACATGCCAGTTTATAATCTAAACATTGTACAAGCAAAGCGTGTGAATGTACAGTGTAAAAATATTACTAATATGATTTTTAAACATGATTTTACATTTATATACTTTAATTCTCCAGACAACATGCAATATTTACACACCTATTTTCATTATTTTGTATCTTTAAAATCTATTGATACATTATATATTTTTATTATCCAGGTACCATGTTACATGTATAGTTAAATATTTATTTTCTATATATATAAATATACATTGCGTAAATTTATCAGACAATAAGTACTTTAATTTATAATAGAGAAAAGAAGATAATAATGGTTATAACATATGTTACTAAAAAAAAAAAAGAAAAAAAATGGTCTTCGATAAATTATAGAATTTTATTATCTCAAGATATAGTATAAGAACATTAGTATAAGAACAGTTAGTATAAGAACATGTACGTGCTCTAATTTGATTATTTTTTATTAATTATTTCAATTTACATGCACGTTTTAATTAATCCAGATCAACTTCGAAAATATCGATCTTAATAATTGATCATGAAAAAAAATTAAATGTACATTGTACAGAATAAATGTGCATTATGTCAATACGTAAATTGGAGAAAAAAAATCTCATTTAACTACTATGATATTTTTTTAAATTAATCTTTTACCAAAATTTAATAAATAGCTTGATTTAAATACATGTATACAAGGAAAGATTATTTTGTCAATTTAAATTATCCTACATGTAGACCTTACATTGTATGGTTTGGAATTTTTGTAACTACTTGCAAGTCAGTCCAAAAAAACAAAAACAAAAACAAAAAACAAAAACAAAAAAAAAAACAAAAAAAAAAATGCTTATCACTTTCCTTCGCGTCGATATATATAATTATACAGGTTTACATGTTCACGAACCTCTTACAAGTACTACATGTAATTCTCGAAATACTTTATATGAACATAAAAAATATACTAGACGGGTACGTTTTGTACTTGTGCATGAAAAGTACACGTAATTCCAACATTAATAAATTGAACTTGCAAAGATACCTTAATACGAAAACTTACATATATTTTTTCATTACATAGTTACCTGTATTTGAACTTTGTAATTGTCATAATTATTTAATTTCAACACTTTAATAATTGTAGTTTCAAAGTGAAGCCAAGGTCATCACGTATCGGTAATCATCCACCTGTTTCGAAAATATTGCGGGTATTAAGAGCAATTGCTGTGGGTTTTTTTAATTGACACTTGCTAGCTGGATGTATACTGTCTCCATGGTCACGGTATACCTGAGTATATACTCCCCCTACATTCGATGCCCCTTAAGTTACATTTACCTCGTCTGGGCACGTTATCAATGAGAAATTCAATTATTATTCTTATTTTTTTTTTATTTGGAAACGTCATAGTTCTTTGGTACGTTGCATTAAGAGTACAT